TGGGTCGTTGAGTACCTTGCCGGTCTCGAGGGAGGTGAGCTGGGCGAGCTCCTCGACGTGGGCGCGCAGCACCTCGCCGCACTTGGCCACCAGGGCGCCGCGAGCTCTGTTTCCGCGCACAAAAAAAAAGTGAGCCGCAACAGCTGTGTGTCGTGTGGTCGTGTGTGTGTCGTGTGTGTCGTGTGTGTGTGGTAAGGCTGGGTCGTGCCGCACCGCACGGACTGCTCGCGCCACTCCTTCTGGGCGCGCGAGGCCAGGGTGACGGCGTCGTTGATGTCGGCCTCATCGCCTGGCACATGTGTCGTCATCGGCCTGATCAGCACAAACAGTTCAAACATTTCCAACATTTGGACGCACCGAGGGCGGCGTGGCCGATGGTCTCGCCAGTGGCCGGGTTGTGGACGTCGAACACGGCTCCGCTCTTGGCCGGTCGCAGACCACCGATGAAATGCTTGCCTGCAGGTGACGGACAAAAATAGATAATTAAATAAATAAAATAATAAAATAAAATTCGTTGTTCGTAATAATAAGGCATAGTAATAATAAGGAAAAAGAATATAAAACAGAGAGGTCCTGCGAGAGAGCGCAGACGGTACCGGAGAGTCGTTGAGCGAGCGCCAAAGGAGCGGCCGCGCGATCCCTGTGGTGAATTTTTAGACCCAAGATTGAGTACTCAATAAGATCTGAATGAGAAGTGAAAGAAGCAAACGTACGACTTGGTGGCAAAGCTTCGGATACCGAGGACGCGCGAGGCGGAAGTGGAGGTGGAGGAAGAAGTGGAGGTCCGGAGCATGGTCGCCATCTTTACACAACACCAAAACGAACAGAGAGAAAAAACCAAAAGAAAAGCAAAGCGAGAATTCTGTGCGACCTGGTTGTTCTTCCTCATTAGCGATGAGGAAGAACACCACAGAGGAAGAGCTTTTGATGCAAAGATAATGGCTTTTTTGTCAGTTGATTTTGGGATTGCCTCCCCTCCTATTTTATCACCATCTCCTCATTGTTGTCATCCACACCATGATGGAAGAAGTATGACCAAAAAAAGTGGTGACTGCTACTAGGATGCAGTGATATGTTCATGCATGCACTTGTATACATTATACATATACTATCTCTCTTTTGGTGTGTACATATATCATCACTCCAAATTTAACCACCTGCTGGTATGGGCGGCCAGAAATAAGTTGCCATAGACATGATGTTGTTTGCTTATGTATGTGACACATTGACAGAGCAGTGTCTGGACAGTCAAGTCCTTCGCCGCCAAGATGGTGGAAGTGGAATGATTCTCTCTCAAGGTGCACACTGCATACCTACTGGCTCGCAAGCTTGGTATGTGTCCTCCACCTCGCCTTAGAAGCTCTGGTTGTTGTGCACTCACCGCGCGCCTCACCCTCAGCACTTGTGATTGCCTTGTTCATCTCCTGTGGCAGGGTGGCCTCGAGGTCATCCACGGCACCATGACCACTGGTTAGTACTCCCTTCTTTTCTTCCTTCCTCATCATGCTCTGCATGCTGGCATCCATTCTCTCATCCTCCCTGGTGTGTGTGTGCTATGTCTCATGTAATTTAGGCACCCTGACGTCCTTCATCTTGTACATGGTCACTGTGGGCATGAGCCTGAACAGCCTGTCCTCCATCTGGGGTGACTTCATGAAAGCCGTTGGTACGGCCCGCCCGCTGACCTGCCCGGACATGCGGCGGCGGACCCTCGCGCTTACTCGCAAACGAGTCGGGTTGGGCGGTTGTGTGCAGGCGCATCGTCGCGCGTTTTCCAGCTGCTCGACCGCCAGCCCCGCATCACAAGCGAGGGCCGCAAGATCAGTGCCATCCAGGGAGAGGTCCGACTGGAGGACGTCTACTTTGCCTACCCGTCACGTAAGGCGGTGGCAAGTCGACGATCGTGCACATGATTGAGCGCTTCTATGACCTGCTGTCAGGTGCCGTCTACCTCGACGGCGTGGATATCCGCAACCTTGACTACGACAACCTTCACAGGTACGACTGGCTCACCTCATCAGGGCGCCACACCACTACCATCTTAACTCATTCGCACACTCCATGGATGAATCATCCAGCCACATCGGCCTGGTGAGCCAGGAGCCCACGTTGTTTGCGGCGTCCATCGCTGACAACATCAGATACGGCTGTCCGCACAAAAAAGTCTCCATGGAGGAGATACAACGGGCGGCCAGGTGCTATCTCTCTGCCCCCTCTCTCCAGTGCATGGATGGTCACGACTGACCTGACGGGGCCACAACTGACGCATCGTTCCTGCGCAGGCTTGCCAATGCGGCTGAGTTCATCGAGCGCGCGCCCAATAAGTACGACACAATGGTCGGCGGTATGGCGAAGCTCCACTCCTCCTCTTTCTTCAACCTTGCGCCTTACGCCACTACAGAGCGGGGCATCACTCTCAGCGGTGTTTCATCGAGTAGCAAGATGGTCGGGTTCTTGAGAATGGCACGGGCAATGCCCACTCGCTGCTTCTGCCCACTCATGCCCATCCGGATTCGCCCACTCATTTCCATCCGTGTCTTATGTAGCCACGTCCGCCCTGGATGCCGAGAGCAAGAACCTGGTCCAAGACGCCCTGGACAAGCTGATGAAAGACCGTTCTGTGTTGGTGATCGCACACCGTCTCAGTACGGTCCGTAATGCCGATGTCGTGTACACGTGGTCGAATCGTTGAGCGAGGCTCGCATGATGAGTTGCTGGCATTGGAGGGCATCTACGCGCGTCTCGTGCGACATCAGCTGCAGCAAGCGGAGTAACCCTCCCTCCCGGGGATGTTTTGTCTGTTTGTTTGTTAAGCAGAAAGAAACAAGTGCTGCGGAGAAATGCACTCTTTTCTTTTTCCTGTTCTTTTCCTCTTTGATTGCTTTTGGAAGCCACTGTTCACCTTCTTCCTCTTCCTCCACCCCTTCCTCCACCTCTGCCTCCTCTTCCACCGCCACCACCGCCTCCCCTACCGCCTCCGCCTCCTCGGCCAGCGCCTCCACCACCTCGGCCGCCGCCACGGCCGCCGCCGCCGCCGCCGCCGCGGGAGCTCATGCCGGCCATTCTGGTGTTGTTGGCCCGGCCAGACTTCATCCGCATCTGCAGCTTCTTAACGCGCTTCTTCTCCTTTCCGATCTGCTCAGCGCCGCGCAGCTCGCTGCGCCCGCCGGTCGAAGCGGCCTTGGGCGCCTTGTGGCGGTACTTGCCGCCCTCGACCGGCACCGCCCGCACCGTGGTCTCGTCATCGCCCACGCTTGGGATGTGGGCTCGCGTCTTCTCCGTCCACTTCTTGTAACTGTTGTTCACCACCGCACACACCGCACACGCACCACCGCGCGCACACGATGATTGATAAGTTCCCGTGGTGTAAAGGTGTGTGCGGTGGCGTGTGCGGTAGGAACTACGTACATGGAGATCTTCTTGGTGCCGTCGACGTTGGTGCCGGATTCGTTCTTGAACTTGAACCCGCCCTTCTTCTCCTTGGCCTCGAGCGAAGCCGCCGTCACGAAGCGCTTCCTCTTTCGGTCCCACCTGTGTGTGCGCACAAACCACACGCGACACGCATCGACGGTGGTGAGCCACGAGACCAATGCCTACATATATATATTATATATTATATTATATATTATATAAAGGCATGCTCGTACCGCATGGCGTTCTTGTTCTTCATCATGGTCTGCTTGTCGTCGCTCATCAGGTCCATGGCCACGTCGCCCATCAGTCCTCGCGAGTCGTCACGCACCGACAGCCTAATTTATTAAAATAATATATTATTGACATAAATGTGTTAAAAGATATACTCAAACACATCTGTAAATATATATATATATAAAGAGATAAATATTTCAATGTAACACAACAAAGGCGGGGTGGGTGGCGTACGCGTCTTCCTTGGCTCTGCCCTGCTGGAACATGGGGATGAAGTACTCCTCGTCCCTGAACGTCTCCGGCTCGCGCTTGCGCTTCTTGACTGAGTTGTGTTCGGCGGCGCTGCTGCGCTTGCTCGTCTCGACGACAGCGTCGTTCTCGTCCTCGTTCTCGTCCTCGTCCTCCTTGGCGATGGCCTGCAACAGCGCCTCGTCGTCGGCCTCGGTCTGCATCTTCTCGGTCAGCTCCTGCTGCTGCCCGTCGATCCGCCGCTTGATCAGTTCGTCGTGCTGCTCCCGCTTGTGCTTCATCACATCCAACGCTCCTGCACAATTCGCGCAATTTAGTTATTTTCATTCATTTATGCACCGCACACACATGCGCACACGCGCGCACACGCCGCACGCCAGCGCACACGCACGTACCCTGTCCGGTGA